TTGACAAACAGCTTTGTCTCAGAGCCTTCCCTTATGAATCAGGCTGTATGTCATTCCTTTTCAGTCGGGACGGTATATCTTTTCAGTTCAGTTATTTGATTTAGAGTTTACTACACTGCTTAAAGTAAATAAGTCTTGCTTTTAGGCAAGCAATGACTTTTTGACTTGGATGGCTATTTGTCTGGAACGGGGGATATGAGAACTCAGATGTAGACTTTTACTAGCATGGGGCCCTCTGGATGTGTTGGGCTATAATTTCCTTCTAACATATTCTGATATGCTGATTGTTTTTATTTTTTAATTCAAATTTTGTGTTTCCCAAATTGATGAGATTTTTTAAAAAAAGTAGGATTTAGAATATCTCATTTTATGCATACCGTATTATAGAAAGTGGTGAAAATAGGTGAGAGTATATAGTGACTGATTCATATGGCAGAATCTTTGCAATTATTTATATATTTAAGTTTAACTTCTATTCTGAGGATCCAAGTGTCAATAATTATCCTGGATAGTAGATATAAATTGATCCTTAGACAGGAAAAACTTAAGGCATAGGTATAAAATAGGCAGTCCCTGGCTCAGCAATAGTAACTGTGAGAGGGATCTAGGTGTCGTAGTGGACCACCACTTGACTATGAGCCAGCAGTGTGCTGCAACTGGCAAAAAGGCGAATGCAGTGTTAGGCTACATCAATAAAGGGATAGCATCAAGATCATAAGAAGTGATAGTACTGCTTTATACTGTACTAGTGATGCCACACTTGGAATATTGCGTCCAGTTCTGGTCACCAAGTTACAAAAAAGATGAGGCCCTAGAAAGAGTGGACAGAAGAGTAACAAACATGATAAGGGGTCTGAAGGCTAAACTGTACAGTTAAAGGAACTTGGTATGGTTAGCCCAATGGAAAGACGGTTTAGGCGTGATATGATAGTTGTCTCTTGGTACTTGAAGTGTTGTCATAGAGAAGAGTGGGTTGACTTATTCTCTAAAGGACCTAAGTGTAGAACAAGAAGTAGGGGAAGCCAGTCAAAGAGAGATCCAACCTGGAACTAAGGAGAAATTTCCTGACAGTGAGAACACGTAATCAATGGAACAGGTTGCCTACCAGAAATGTGGCTGCTCCATCACTGGAGGTTTACAAGAAAAGATTAGTCAACCATTTCTCTGAGATATTGTAAGGTCTCCTATGTTGGGCAGGGGGTTGGACTAGAAGAACTTGAAGTGCCTTTCAGCCCTGTGATATTCTAGTGTAGGCCACTCTATTCTATATACTTGAATGGACTATGGAATATATTCACTCCACTCCACTGCACCCTATTCAATTTCTATATATAAATACTGGATTGCATCTATACTGCATGCTTCAATTTTCTTTACAGTTTCAAAGTTACAATGGCTCTGAAAAAATGATGTATGACAGTTTTTCACACTTATGACTGCTGTAATATCCTCATTATCACGTGATCAAAATTCAGATGCTTGGAAACTGGTTCATATTTATGATGTTTGTAATGCCTTGGGGTCATGTGATCAGCTTTTACAACCTTCTGACAAGCAAAGTCAATGGGGAAGCCAGATTCACTTAACAACCGTGTTACTAACTTAACAATTGCAATGATTCACTTAACAATAGTGGCAAAAAAGGTCATAAAATGGGGCAAAACTCACTTAACAAATATTTCACTTAGCAATGTAAAAGTTGGGCTCAATTGTGGTTGTAAATCGAGGACTACTTGTACTAGCTTACCTCTGTTTAGTGTCCTGCCAGTAGAAGACCAATGAGAGTTATTTTGCTTATTTTCACCCTTTCTGAGGCTTGAGCTGTCTAAAAATCTGCTGAGGAAGTCTGAGGGATTCTTGGCGTAATTTTTTTTAGAGGATGCAAGCAGTTGCAAAATGAGAGAAGTGGCAGTGCTTACCTTTTCCTTGTAGCACTATTGCTCTGTTTGACCACACATTGATCAAAAGAGCTCTTCTAAATAAAGAATGTGAACTTTGGATTTAATTCTTTATAAAAATAGACTTGAAAAAAGAGGGATATAGGAAAAATAAATGTAAGATTATAGATTTCCCCAAATATGCAGATAAATATTATAAAACTTCTAAAAAACCATCAATACTTGGAAATGATTTTGTGTATTGTGAAAAAAAAAACCCTTCAACCATAACTGGCTAGAAATCTTTTAGATGAAAAGATTAGAACACAAATTTTCTAGCCAGGCTTCACATAACAAAGAAAGAGGATTTTTAAGCATTGGAAAAATGACATGGTGATGGCCTTTCAAACAAGGAAATGAACCTTTTCCCTGAGAAAATGAAATCTTGCTCATTTCTCAGTTACCTTTTAAGCTTTTCAACCTGTCAATGAAATTGTGTAATCAAATAATAGCGTGCCTGAGGCTTATTGCCTTTTCTTGAGAAGTAGTATCATCAAATGATGTGCTCTATTGCTTTTAATCACACTGAGCCAGAGATTCCTTAAACTTACAATATTGGTTTCAGTGGACTTATTCTAGAATTTATATCATATAAATGTTCACTTAAGAAAAATATGATCCAATGTAAATAATAGAATACCATAAGCAAAAGAAAATAAATGGTTGTATTTTATTTTCATGTATGTATTTAAATAGTATTTTTCTCTACTTAATTCTTTACTTAATTTTTCCAGCCATTTGCTTCCATTTCATATAACATTAAGCATAATTATGATGTTTAAATGAGTATACTGTTTTTCTTTTTCTTTTAAAAAACCGTTCTATTTTGTAACAGAGCCCTACCATGTATTTAATGTTGAGCTAGAATTACATTTTCTAGTTTTTAGCTGTTAAACATAATTTTCTTTCCTCTGGGATTGGGCTTTGAGATGGGAGGTCAGAGAAGCTTCAGTAAATACTGAGAGCAACACAGGCTGGAGTGAGAGGTCAACTTTACCATTAAAGTCGAAAGGGGATAGGCGAAGCAAGGCATAATCCTCAACAGAGAATGAGAGGAGGGAGCTATGCACATTTGCAGAAGGATTACTGCAAAAATCAATTGCAATTTATTGTTGAAGGGTCCTTGGTGCTCTCTGAGTTTCCTGGTTTTCTTGCAGACATTTCATTACCCTAACTAGGTAACATCATCAGTGCTGGTAAGGAGTGATGTTTGCTGTCAGTTTATATTCTGGTGCCTTGCCTGTCTGTGTGTGTGTGTGGGGTGGGGGTCCTAGAGATTCTTTGGTTGGACTGTTTACAGATGGCTCTTTGGCAGTTTCTTGATTGGGGTGTTGCTTACTTGATTGTGGGTCTGAAGTTAACCTTGGAGTTAGAATCTTTATTGTTGCCAAGAGAACTGGATAAAATGACCGAAACATTTTGAATACAAGATTCTGGATCTGCAAGTCAGAAGACCCTTCTGTGTTGTTGGGAAATAAATAGTAGTTCTGATATAACCAGATCAAAATCTCAAGGAAGTCTGGTTGTTTATGGTGCCCTTATTAAAAGAAGAATATCACACTATCCAGGGACACACATAATTGATACATAGAATGAGAGAAATATACACCAAGAAAAAATTGAAATGGTTAAAGTAGAAGTGAAGTACATTAGGATAAATTAGGAGTAAGTGAACAATGCTGCCAAAAGGGGGGCATTTTAAATTAGATGAGTATATAATATATTCTTCAGGACATGAAAACTAAGAAGGAATAGAATGGTAGTAAAAAAATTGCTAAGTATGTGCTTATCAGTAACCCAGTAAATAAACCCAGGATCCTTTGTATTGGATTTAGTGGATATAATGTGAAAATTGAAATCAAATTGACCACATCATTGGAAATAAACAATATAGAAGTGCAATCTAGTTAGCTGGGAAAGTCAAAATACAGAACAGAACAGACATGAGCTATAGAGGTCAAATATACAGATTACACTTGGAAAATTGAAGTATGTCTGCCAGCGGGATTTGACCTGGAGGACATATACCCAAACAATAAAATCAATGTAAGGGAAAGACTTACTTGGTGTAACTAATGTGAAAGATAACTTGAGAAGCTCTGAGAAGCTGTAAGAGCCATTGTGTAATTCAAAACAGAAAATAAAATACCCTGCAAAAATTTCCAAGAAAAAGATCTAAGTGGCTTTCAGATCTAGGCAGTGGTTTCAGACCACGAGAGACAAAGTAAGCCAGAAAATGAAAGGTTAGGCAACAAAAAAGAACACACAATATAATGGCTGCACATAGACTTTCAGTGTCAGGTAAGAAATAAGTATACTTCAGAATAACAAACAGAGGGGAAGTATAAGTACTTTATAAAATCATATTTGCTTTAAATAGACTTCTTAAAACAATGGAATCTTTTCACTTTCACCTAGAAAGTACATACTAGAGAGGTGTTGTGCACAGAGATGAAAACAGAAATTTAAAAGCACTGCCTGAGACCTGTATGGTGCAGATACAAAGAGCAGATTAAACCTAGGAAGGAAAGCAATGGCAAACTGAAATATACCATATTTTTGGAGTATAAGGCACACAGTTTGCCCCCCAAAAAGATGGTGAAAATCTGGTTGTGTCTTATACTTTGAATGTCACCACCTGGTTCATCTGAAGAAGAGGCAGGTGAAGCGGGCGCTACGCAGGAGGCATGACAAAGTAGCTCACCACTTGGCCTCCCGCTTCTTCAGACAGCCCACTTGGAGGGCGGTCAGCTTCTGATCCTGGCCTGGAAGACAGATCTGGCCAGAAGAAATGCACACCCTGTTTTTGCAATCGAGGAGGAAAAAGAGCATTTCAGGTGGTGAGTAGTTCCAGGCTGCACCACAATCCCTGCAGCCTGGAACCGCCTACCGCCTGAAATGGTCTTTTTCCTCCCTGATTGCAAAAATGGGGTGTGTACTCCTCTTGGCCAGATCTGTCTCCCGGGCCAGGAGTAGAAACCGCCCGCCCTCCACCTGGGTTGTCTGAAGACGTGGGAGGCCAAGTGCCTTACATTTCTCATACAGTGCCCTCTTCACCTATCCCTTCTCAGTTCCAGGCAGCCAAGATCGCCGCGCTCTGAAAAACACTCTTTTTCCTCACCAATTGCAAAAACGGGGCATGTGTTCCTCCTGGCCAGATCCATCTCCCATTCCCAGCTGCTCCTGCTGAATCAGGCTGCAATAATGTGCTGAAGCTGACCTGGCTGTTTGCTGCAAGGACGCTAGCCAGATTAATACCGATGGATTCTGGTAGGCAAAGCCAGAAACTTTTTTTCTAGTTTTCCTCTACAAAAATTAAGGTGCGTCTTATATTCCGGTGTGTCTTATACTCCAAAAATACGATAATAATAGAGAGTGAGGATATCTGTATGACAACAAAGATCCAAATATTTAAAAAATAATGTTTATTCAGTGACAAGGCTTCAATTGGTTGAGGAAACCTGTAATAGTAGTGTTCTAACATTTTAAAGTCACTGCTTTGGCTAGTGATAGTAAGCTTCCAGACTCAATTCAAGGTATCGATAATTACCTATAAAGCCCAGTATGGCACTGTATTAGGGACAATCTTGCTAATTGTGATTCAGCTTATACTTTCTATATTAGTCATCTGCAGAGGGAATAAAAAGGCTTTGAATTCGATATATTTTCTGTCAGCCCTTCAGGATAGATCAGAGTAAGAATTCAATGTTATGTAGGCCAGTTTTATTTTATTATAACAAAATCTTGTAAGTCTGAGTGTGCTTTTCCCTCCTCCCTTTATCTTTGTGAGTACTAGGGAAGGAGTTTTCTGAGGTTTTATTCAAGGACAATCCTGTCCCAAACTCTCTTATCAGACTGTTATCTTGGTGGGCCCCCTTCCTCTTGTTCTTCAAAGCCATTCCCTCTGCTCTCTACATTGGTTAGGATCAACCCACGGAATCATTGCTCTTCTACTCTTCTGATCAGTGCTCTTTACTTTTGATGGAGGCCAGCAGAGAGGACTAAACACATTATTTTCACCTTCTTCACACTTCAATATGGGCTGGACATGGGGAGACAAAAGAATGCCATTTTAGAACATTTTAGAAAATTTCATACCACCATTCAGATAATGATGTAGTCTGTATTATTCTAGTGAAAAAATTGGAGTGGAGGGGGGGGATACATTTTTAATAAATTAGTATTAATGAGCTAAAATAAAATAATTCAATGCCAGTGGAGAATTTTTGATTATATATATTTTGATAAAAATTCAAGTATATAAATTGAACAAATGTTACCTGTCTTCTAATACAATTGTGTCAATTATGCCTTTAGTCTATAACCACAAGCCCAAAATATTCCTAAATACAACACTTAAATAGGCAAAGAATGCCTTCGTGTGAATATATAATAAAAGGCTTTTAACTTTTCTTAGTAGAAATAAAGCTACAATTACACCATATTGGCTTGAGCTATTTTATTAATATGCAATTATTGCTTTTAGAAATGAATAACATGACACTAATTCTTTAGCTCACAATGGACTTCCTATAGCATTCAAGTCCAACTAAGATTTCCTTGTTATTTTCATTTTGAATATTGAAAGCTTTTGTTAGTTTAGAAAGAATAATAATAAAGTTTTCCCTTACTTTTGTTTATTATTAGTCTTATGTTTAATTATGTTGCCTTGTCCTTTTTTGGTATGTTAGGAATGCTTTCAAATAGATTATGAAACAAGAAGAGCAAAAGAATGACCATTTGATATGGTTTGTTAACATTAAAAATTTTAAGAAGTTCCTTAAGTTAATTATTTCTTGGTACCTGTGTGGTAGACAAAACATACTCTCATTTTGCACAGTTGACCATTAAATAAATGACTGTATCATATGTCATGGACAACTGATTTCTGTGTTGTGCTTGGTGTATCCTGAACATTATATTAAGTATTGAGTGAAGTAAAGTTTAAAGTGTGGAATATCTTTTCCCCCCTTATATAGTAAATGATTCTATTTGTTTTCCTTACAAATGAAAACTGGAGAAGCAAAAAAAGAGGTGGGCACTAAAAGCTGTCATAAAGCTGTTAAATGTCAATATATTCAATTAAAACATATTTTACATATTTTACTTCTGACTTTTCCTAAATGGGTTTGGAAAATCCTAAGCCATCTGATATGTTTTAAATACTGTAAGTATTGCTAGGGTAGAAAATGTCCATTTGCATGAAATATGGAATGAACTTTGATACATATGATTTGGGCTTGCTTGCTAATACTGTAGTCCTATTTTGTGTTGTTATTCCAATTATTATTAATGTGATTTTGCACAGAAAAATATGTTTAAAATTGTTAACGTGATATAAATTATTTACCAAAAGTTTTAGTTTATTAAGAATTCTTGGTTCTTTGGGTTAGAATATAGTGAAGAAGATAGTTTTGCTTTGTTAAAAAGAAACTATTCAGATTTAAACTGTTGGATTGAGGTTACAAAATCATTTTCAATCTTAAATTCTCCAGTATTGAAACAGAAAGATTGATCTCTTTGGTTCTGCAGCAGCAAAGTTTAATTTGTTGTTTCAAAACTGAATTGCCATTACACTGTATATTGATTATACTAATAGAGCCATGATGTATAATGGAGTGTTTGTGAACTTTATTTAGTAACTTCAATCTTTCAGTAATTTAGGGTTTAAGAACTGTTTTTGGAACTACAGGGGATGCTGAACTTGCCAAAGACCCATGACTCTTGTTCAAGACAAGCAATTTGTGGTATAGAATGAAGCATTAAAGAACTATGTTTTCAAAACAAATAGAATTATATATGGTCTGACAAGCATTGTCTTAAATAAAATGAAATGAGATCCAAAGGCAGGGTTTCAAATTTTATCCAAGATTTCAAGTTCTACCAACTGATACATCCTTATCAAACACATCTTTAATTATTCATAACTTGGTTTTGATTTCTTGTGATTTTATTGTCTTTTTAGATAGCTCATGAACATTAAAGGGATCGAATCTGTACTTTTGACATTCAGTGGCATTCAGTGATTTCTATCTATCCGGTATTGCTACTATTCCTTTCCATGACAATATTGCCCATTTCATCATGGGCCTCACTTTATGAGGTAAGATTTTTTTTACAATACATTAACTACTTCTTTTCTAATAATGGATGGTTATCATGGCTAGCATGGAGGAGGAGATTTGGGGAGCAGATTAGGGACAGGCTGGAACATCATTCTGGGTAGGGGAGACAGGGACCAGGCCATACTTGGGTAAAAAATGGCCTCTATGTATTATACTGGTTCTGGCCTCCTGTATTCAGTCTCATTTTCAAACCATTAGATTTTCAGAGCCCCTGAGTTTTGAATGCTACTGCTGCTACTTAATACCAGTTAATCTGCAATAACAGCTTCTGCTTGAGCATCAGGTGGCAACCATGATCAGGAAGGCTTTTACATAACTTCATTTTATTCACTTATTGTGCTCTTTCCAGGACCAGAACAAATTTCCTATGGTCATTCATCACTTGATCACATCTTGAATGGATTACTGCAATGCACTGTACATGGGGCTGATCCACTTTAGTTCGGTGGTCCCCAATCTTTGCAGCTTGGTGGCCCGGCTTGGTGGGAGGAGGAAATAAGGGAACTGGGCTGTGCAAGGAGTGGGCTGGTATGTCCTGCTTTAGTACATTGGTCTCCAACCTTTCTGGCTCTGTGGACCAGCAGCCACAGTGGGGAAGGGAATAGTTTCGTGTGGGTGAGTCATTTGCACAAATGTAGTTTCACACATGTGCATGCTTACCCATCACTTGTGTGGCCTGGTACTTTGCCGTGACCTAGGGATTGCTGATCCCTGATTTATTACATTAATACAATACAATAGCAAAGTTGGAAGGGACCTTGGAGGTCTTCTAGTCCAACCCCATACCTAGGCAGAAAACCCTATACCGTTCCAGACAAATGGTTATCCAACATCTTCTTAAAGACTTCCAGTGTTGGAGTGTTCCACTGATTAATTGTTCTGTCAGGAAATTTCTCCTCAGTTCTAATTTGCTTCTCTCCTTGATTAGTTTCCACCCATTGCTTCTTGTTCTACCCTCAGGTACCTTGGAGAATAGTTTGACTCGCTCTTCTTTGTGGCAACCCCTGAGATATTGGAACACTGCTATCACGTCTCCCCTAGTCCTTCTTTTCATTAAACTAGACATACTCAGTTCCTGCAACCCTTCTTCATATGTTTTAGTCTCCAGTCCCCTAATCATCTTTGTTGCTCTTCTCTGCACTCTTTCTAGAGTCTCCACATCTTTTCTACATCGTGGTGATCAAAACTGAATGCAGTATTCCAAGTGTGGCCTTACCAAGGCATTATAAAGTGGTATTAACACTTCACGTGATCTTGATTCTATCCCTCTGTTTATGCAGCCTAGAACTGTGTTGGCTTTTTTGGCAGCTGCTGCACACTACTGGCTCATATTTAAATGGTTATCCACTAGGACTTCAAGATCCCTCTCACAGTTACCATTATTGAGCAAGATACCACATATACTGTACCTGTGCATTTCGTTTTTGTTGGCTAAATGTAGAACCTTACTCTCTTCACCATTGAATTTCATTTTATTAGTGCCCAATGTTCAAGTTTGTCAACATCCTTCTATATCTTGAGCCTATCTTCTGGAGTATTGGCTATTCCTGCCAGCTTGGTGTCATCTGCAAATTTGATGAGTTCCCCATTTATTCCCTCATTCAAATCATTGATGAAGATGTTGAAGAGTACTGGGCCCAAAACAGAGCCTTGGGGTACTCCACTGCATACCTCCCTCCATGAAGATACAGTTCCAATGAGGAGTATACGTTGAGTATGGTTGGTCAGCCAGTTACGAATCCATCTGGTGGTAATGCTGTCTAACCCACATTCTTCTACTTAGTAAGTTATGGTCTTCTAGTAGTAGGTTATGGTCTACCTTATCAAATGCCTTACTGAAGTTCTAGTAAACTATATCGACGGCATTCCTCTGGTTCACTAATTTTGTCACATTATCAAAGAATGCAATAAGATTAGTCTGGCATGATCTGTTTTTGACAAACCCATGTTGGTTTTTGGCTATTACTTTGTTTGCTTCTAGGCGTTCACTAATTCGTTGCTTGATTATCTTTTCCAGAATCTTTCCTGGTATTGAGGTTAGGCTGATAGGTCTGTAGTTTCCTGGATCTGTTTTTTTCCCCTTTTTTGAAGATGGGAACCACATGAGCTCTTTTCCAGTCCTCTGGTAGTTCTCCGGTGCTCCAGGATCTCTGAAAGATATAGTTCAGTGGTTCTGAGATCTTGTCTGCCAGTTTCTTAAGAACCCTGGGGTGCAATCCGTCCGGTCCTGGTGATTTCAACTCGTCTAGGGTAGACAGGTGTTCACTTACCATTTTCTTCCCTATTTCAACGTGTTCCTAATCTGATTTTTGTGGTGCTGTTTTTGATAGGTTGGACTGTTTTATCCCTTTGTGTAAAGACAGATGCAAAACATGAGTTAAATAATTTTGCTTTCTCCCTGTTGCTTGTCACCTTCTTGCCACTTTCTCCCAGCAACGGACCAAATGTTTCCTTAACTTTTTTCTTGTTTTTAACATGTTGGAAGAAGCTTTTTTTGTTATTTTTTACTTTTGTGGCAAGCCTTTCTTCATTGTGAGCCTTAACGTTCCTCACTTCATCTTTACATGCTCGGGCTACATTATATCCCTGCTCTATGAGCTGCACTGGATTCCATTCCCTTGTGATTAAGGATGCAATTTGAGGTCCTGGTGGTCACTTATAAAGCCTTTCATGGCATAAATCTGTAATATAGGTAGGACTCCCTCTCCCCAGTTGTTTCTATTTGCCCTATTTGGTCTGGTGGGAGGGGCATTGTATGCGTTCCACTGCTTAAACAATTCATCTTGCTGGATTCAGAAAGCATACCTTTTCTGTTGAAGCACTTACACTTTGGAACACTATTAGCCCTGAGATTAGATTTGCCCCAAACCTGGTTATCACATTTATTGTGACTTTATTACGCTTATTGTATTGTTTTTATATGTTGTTGGACATCCAAAACTGGATAATAAAATGAGTGATTATATACAATAAATTGAAAAGCTAAACTAAACTATTAGTAGATCATAAAAAACACAGTGCTATTTTTCTGCTTTGTAAACTGAATATATCAAGACCAACAGTTCTTTCTGTTTTTGTAGAACTCAGTAAGTTTCTTGTTGAATTTTACTTTGTACTCTCTTACTATAGAGTCATAGTGGAGGTGATAATGATGATTTAACTTTCTTACTTATAGGAATAGTTTTATAGGTCCATTTTTTGTGATTGTATTTTTAATACATGGGAAAATTCCCATAATTCTTTGTTGGAATTTGCTTTCTGGAAAAATATTTTTACAATGATGTTTTTGACTTTCACTTCTCCAAATTATCTGTAAATATCAAGGTACAGTGTCTTTGTTACAATATTGTTGTTGGTTGCTAGTCATTACAAATTTTATGCCACCATATATTTTCTCACCTTCTTGTTCTGCTTCCTTCAACAGTGCATAGAGAGGTTCCAATCTTTGTGCTACTATTTAATTTGCACAGCAGGATCCATACAATCAAATAAATGGCTGATCTCAATAAAGAAGAGGATGTAAAATGCCTCAAGTGCTCTGCAACATTTCAACCAAGCAATAGTGTATATTCTTGTCCCTATTGCAAAAAGGATTCTGTGTCCTCTGGAGTAACTGTAGTAGAAACCTCAGATGTAACAACTGATAAAGCAAATGAGAATTTAGAACCTGAAGAAGGCCCCTCAAGAAAACAAGTATCTTCTTTAGAAGATGTAAGCAAACAAAATTTAGACATTTTCTTGTCTCCCTATGCTCTGCACTGATTTACTTTGAAATTATTTTCTATTTGCAGAAATATATATACCGTATATGTGACACTTTCCATCTACAAATTCTCACCCACAAACCCAGACAAATATGTCAGGATCAGACCCCTTGCCCTGTGTAAAACAGCAGTGATTTTTCCTGAAAAATGTATCCTGCTCAAATCTTGGATGGAGGTTCCTTTTGAAATGGGGTTGGGTTTTATATGCATTTGAGTGCTGAGAAATCTAGCTATGGATATTGCATCATATATCAATTGCAAACTCCTAGTTACTGACTCAATATTTACCCGTTCTCTTTAGTAATCTTTAAATGAATGCTTCATTTATCACAGTAATTGTAACTGAGGACTGTCTGCAGGCTATTCTGTTGCCCTTTCCCCATCTGTTCTTTCTTCTGACAGGGTCTGACTTCTTATATTCAGATAGTGACCCAGTTTCTGGAAAAATTCTTCTAATGTCTTGTTAATGTCACTACAGGTCAGAATGGAATTCCTAGCATTCAGCAACAACAATCTGTCAGGTGTAGCTGTACTCTTAAGTTACTCCTATGTGGAAAATAACTAACTTAAGGATTTGCTTTCAAGCATGTGTAATGTTTTGAGTTTGATCAAGACAGGACATATTTATTACAAATACATTTGCAGCCATTTTAGAGCACTGGTTTCCTTTTCCCTTACTTATTTATATAGAATCCTCTGTATTTATATCCCTACTTGTAAGATAGGAAGCAACTCAGTGAAAGAAATAATAAACAGCAGATTACATTAGATAACTCATTTTGGATTCACTTCCCCAATTTTAATTGTTCCATTTTGGCAAAAATATAACAGAAGGCCTGAATGGATGACATCTCAAATCAGAGGAAAAGAGATTAGAGAGTGAAATCCTATTGATTCTCTGTAATCTCCTTCAAAGAAGGATACAATCAATTCTGGTAACTTGCTGAATAGGTTTTAAAATTGGTATTAAGGACATGGAGTTATATGATTCTATGTACAGAATTGGTTCTAGAAAGTGGAACCAGTGAATTTCTGTTTGTCCTCATGGTATGTTAGATATATTTTATTCTCAAACATTGTTTTGAGCAAATGTAGGCAATACAATAGGTTATCCAAGATTTGGAGTAGGGTATTTTTTCCCCTAGGCATTTAAAGTTGAGAGATACCTTAGTCGTCTTTATATTTTTGCTTTCTCATGTTGATGTTTTTACAGATTAATGATATACTTAAATGTTATATGATTTAATTATATATGATTTAAATCATGTGAATTAATTATATATTTTAATGCATTGACATAAACAAATTTTATGTTTATAGTTGTTTTTAGTAGAATAGAATGGTGATATACAAATATTTTAGTAATAGATGAAATACAAATATTTTGAAATAAGTAATGAATGACTGCACTGATTTTATAAGAGACTCCTCTTATTCCAAGGTAAAGAAAAAAATTAAAAGGCCTTTTACTTCATTTTAATCCAGTATAGTGAGGGTTTTTTTTCTTTTGGGCTGGTAGAATTGTATTTTTCTCCTATCATAATATTGTTAGAAGTGTGCAGTTAAGAATAGAGCTAAGGCAAAAATTGCAGAAAAAAGGGTAATTTATTTCTTCCTGTAAATTAGTTTATTTAAAGAGGCTCTCTTAAAATGAAGAGGCAAAGCTTTATACAATGATATAAATCATATTTGAACATGCCACGAATAACCAATATCTGGGATAGAAAATGGAATTGAGAAACTATGACAGGAATGGAAAATTTCTGAATCATATGACGAGTTACCAGATGACTGGCAAAAGAAGGATATGTCATCGATGCAAATATTACCTTGGTTTTTGAGTATCTTGTTTTTTAAAAGACAGTTTTCACAACATTGTCATTCAAATTTTCGACACCATAGATTTATTTGTGTATTTTATTTCTTGATTCCAGCAATTAGCTTCAATCCAACCCTTTCAAATCTATAATTTCTGTAATCTGTAGAAAGCATGACTCATCACATGTTTTTATGATGAAATGTGAAAAGTGTGTCACTGTTGATTCTATAGCACATATTCTTGAAACTAAAGATTAGTTGGAAAAATAATTTCAATAATTTCTTGAAAAAAATGTAATTTCATATACAGGTACATTTTTTGCAAATTTTGCTGTATTTTTGTGGTTGCCAAGAGAATTAAACAGTATGACCTAGTGTCTCCCCATTTGGACATGTAGTATGACATTTTCCAAATAAACAGCAAATATTATGCTACCCTAAATCTCTCCAAGACCAATCTGTTTTAATATTCAAGTTTTAGAAAAGAAAAATAACTAATAGCACTGCAGCTGGAGAGCCCAGTAAAATATAGAAATTGAAATTACAGAGCTGTCTCTTGCCCTTCCTCATCTTTGTTTTGAAGAGATGCTTTGCATTCTTCTTATATTTCTCCCCAAAAGCTCAGTGTATCATTTTTTTATTTTTGAAAATAAACTGGCTGTGGATTCCTATGCATCCCTAAATCACATATGTATACAACCTCAGGAGAGGTCAGATCCTTTGGAGGAATATTGCTGTGATCCTCTCCTGGATATATATGAATCAGATTGATTCAATTTCGAATTCAGTTGATTTTGAATATATTTCAATTTTAACCATTAATTGAAACAGAACATTTCACAAAATGTTAATTAATTTAAATTTCCATAGTTAAATTGATCGAAAGGGTATGGAGAAGGAAGCTCAGTTCCGATATAATATGTTGCAAGAATATTTTTTCTATTACATAAGATAGATTTATACTGAAGTGTTCTTTTAAGCCAGTTAAGTTTGTCTTTTTTAGTTCCCGTCCCACTTCATATATTTTCTTTATTTGTAATAAGTTACATAAAATGTATCTCATTTGCTTGAAGCTATTTCAAACAGTATATAGTCTTTAAACAATGGCTTGTGTTTTAATTTCATGCTTTTCTTTTTATGTTCCTAAAGATGTCAAAGGCAGACTTAACAGACGTTCACAAAAAAATACTTGTTACCCCAGGCATTCGTGGCAATATTGCGGAATGCAAAATCCCACATACACGAATAGATGATGGAGCAGCTATTCAGGTTTGTAATTCAGTATCCTTGTGAAATGTTGTTGTAACTTTTAAAGTATGATATGATAAAGAGAATGGTTTAGGATTGAGTAGGTTTAAAAAAAGTTTAAAACCATAATATGGAAATATCTAAAGTCATGTACAAGCTATTGAATTCTCCAGAAATCATCAGTCTCAATATTAAACAAAATGAAATGGATTTTGGACTAGCTTACATTACCCTATTTAGAACATATTTTCAAAATATTTGTGTAGACTACTTATTTGTACTCAGAGAAATTATAGCAACCTGGCACACAAACGATCAGATGATTGCAGCTAAAAAAATATTCTAGGGATTTTCCTCCTCTCATTGTAGTTATGATTCAAAAGATATGCTGCTCTGTTTACCAGGAGTGGCTTAAATCAGCATGTTTTATTTAAACACAAGGGTACTAGGTGTGAGTAATTTGGATAATTTATTCAAGATAACAGAGTTGACCACATGAACTTGCTCAAGTAGACAACATTCTTACACAATTTTTAGTTCTGGGGTAACATACACAACTGTTTTACACAAAATTAGAGCTTATTATTGCAGGCATCCCAGGAATATAAAGGATTAATTTTGGGACTGCATTTCTGACCTACCATGTTGGCTTTAAGGGAGAATGAAAAGATAATTTCAAAAACAGGGACAAGAAAAATGAAATTGGGTGAAAAAACCCAGCCTTTAAAAAAAAAAAATCTTTCTGAAAACCAGAGGAGGAAGACAAATTTTTGTCAGAGAATCAGTTTGATCAGTTATCAAGGCACCAATTAGAACTCAGGAATCTTAGACACAAAAGCCAGATGGATAACTTTGGACCAGTCCACTTCTTTCAGCACGGTTTTTGTGGTGGGGAAAATGGGAGGAAGGAGTATTAGGTATATTCACCAGCTTGATTTATTTATAAAAATAATAAAGGCAGGATTAAAAAAAATTGAAAAGGAAAAAAATACCCAAGATTGTACGAGTAGCCTTTGAGCTGGGGTTCAGAAAGCTAGACAACTGAATTTTGTAGAAAAAAACAAACTGATTATGAACATAGAACATAACTTGAAGGTGATTTATAGGAAGAAGAGTATTGAGTTTCAGAAAACTGTTGTGCCAACGGGTATACCTGGGAAGATAATTTCTGTTAATGCTTTTAGTTTAAAATGCTCAGTTTTAACTAACTGGTGATGAAGGAAAGATTTGTACTCTTTTAGTTAACCAGCCATCAACACTTTGACAGTAGTTGAAACCAGTTAGGGGTTAATCTGTGACTCTAAAATACCTGAATCAGAGTGCAAATGAGAGTGGAAACATCTTTGATAATGGAATTTTATTTTTCAGCAACACTGTTGTTTTAGCAGTCTGATTTTTCTAGTTAGTTGCTTTGCATTTTTTTGGTATTATTTCTCCTATAATTCTGTTAGCTGGGGCTAAAGGTCAATCTGCCAAACATTTCTGAATAAAAAGGGGCAAGTCCAGGGCATTGTACACGAGGCTAGGAGTAAAAAAGCTTATTTATATCCATTTTTAAAAAAAGAAAAATAACCAGGTAACAAAAATGGCATTAGATTTAAAGGAATATAAATCAGAATACATTACCTTAAACACCCCAAGCATTAAATTGGAAACGGAGGGAACTGCTTATAGTGAGCATTTAAAAAAATGAGGAATTCTAATTATTTTTCTTTTTTAATTCATTCAATTCTATTGTCCCTTCTATTGCATTGTACTTTGTTTTTCTTAATGCATAAAACATCATCTACATGTAATTGTGCATATTTATCATCTCCCTAATACATTTGGTGATTTCTTGGAACTATCTTCTAACTATCTTTCTTCTGTACTTTGTCCTCTTATTTATTTCTTACATATTCTCTATGTCTGCAGCAAATTTATTCTTTTGGAAGGAAATTAGGACAGGGCAGCTTTGGAGTAGTGATTGAAGTAACACACAAAGAAACAGGCGTAAAGTGGGCAATGAAGAAAGTGAACCGTGAAAAGGTTGGTATTTGTAACAGACAAAGAGTTTTTCACCTTGGCAATGATTACCTTATTTTAACATTTAATTTGAATAACCATGCTATAATTATGAGCTTCTAAGTTTCTACTGTAGTTAGGAAATATTGATTACTGTGCATTTATTATTTCTTCAACATTTTATGGGAGATATAATAATGTTAATTTAGTTTGATTGTAACTGTGGGACTGCAGATATGTCAAATGAAATAAAAGAGTTTTACAATGCAGCCTAGTACCTGTATATTGTACAAATCAAGATAGCTCATTTCAGTAAATGTTATGATAAAAGATTGTTTTTAAAAACTTTAATAAGTGATATGGGCAATATCAAATATGTAATGATCAAATTATGAAGTAGGTGTGTTTTACTCAAATTAAATTCTTTCAAAGATTGTGCAGGGGAAATGAGATTAAATCCTTAAACTTTGAACCAGAAAGTATCACTGAGAAGTGACACCATCTTTAAAAATGACATGATATGTTATAAAAATGGAGTTGAGGGCTTTCAAAGGAAGAACAAAAGTGTGAGCAATTAGCTTTAATGATTTAAAGTATTGTAAAGAAAAGTGGCAGTTACAAAGTTAACATATCATAGATCCTAGTACTACTACAAAATGTATATAGATGTGACTTAGAAAAGACTGAAACAAATATGTTCTTTGCTGTTCTGGCAAAAATGAACATGGGAAGAGTAAATGGATCTGAATAAAATTTAATTAACTTTAGGGACCGCATTTTGTAAATATAGGTGGGTATTTTGGACTGGATGATTTAGAACAGCTTTTAGCATATATATAATTCTAAAAACCAATTACAGGCCCTTGGAGAGGCTTCTATAAATATATAGCGCTTTTATAAATGTAGGCATCTAATAAAGGTGAAACTCAAAAAATTAGAATATCGTGCAAAAGTTCATTTATTTCAGTAATGCAACTTAAAAGGTGAAACTAATATATGAGATAGACTTTACATGCAAAGCAAGATAGTTCAAGTCGTGATTTGTCATAATTGTGATTATTATGGCGTACAGCAACTTTTGCATCTCATTTGGAAACCAAGGACCCAGAGTATGGAGGAAGAATGGAGAGGCCAATCAAGCACAGTAATCCCATGGTCATTGAACCAGTTTTTGGTGCTTTTGGCTCCAAAAAGTTGCTCTCATCAGAAAAGAGGACTTCGGACCAATGAGCATCAGGACTTTGGACCACTGTGC